ACAAGGAATGCTCCAATCATCACTTTAATCTATTGGTGCAACATCATATTGAAATATCTTAAACGTCCCTTATTCTGATTCTTCCATGTTATTTAATAGGAAGCCGAAGCCCAGAGAGACGAATTGACTTGTCCATTCCACCTCCCAAAATTTAGCTTACTTATCCTTTGTTTCCAATGAAACAAATATATTCCCTGCACACTTTTGAAAACACTATTATTATGCCTTTCTTGTGGGAGAACGTTGTGTTTGATTTCTTCTCATTCCCATATGTCCTGGTTTCAGGATGAGTGGACATATAGTGAGATGCTCAGTGGCAGATGGACAATATAACTTCCACAGACTGCATATGCAGAGAGCTGGCTTTCAAAAGATACCTTTGCCTCAGTCCTGATGAAAAAATGAGCCAGATCTGAAGGATTCCATCAGCTTTAGCAAAGCTGCTGGCCAGGAAGAGAAGTGAGAGATCCAACAAGTAAACAAGAGTGGGAAGGAAAATTATAATTCTCTGGGCACCAATTGTTTGAAAGAAGACTTAGAATAATATCATAATCTCATCTCCGTTCTTAAATATGTAGCTTCTACGGATCAGCAGGTGCAGACCCAAGAAGGCAGGCAAGGGCCCCTCATCCCAAGTGGTGGGGTGTGCCCACAGGTAGGGCTTGCTCAAGACCTGGGAAGCTCTGGCACCGTTTCCATTCTTAGCTTTCATCTTCTTTCACACATGCTCCACTGTCCAGCTTTGCGGACCTCCTAGTCTCTTCCGGACCTCATGCTTTTGTTCTGCCTGCCTCATCCTGGAGCCCATTTTTCCTGCTTGTCTGCCTTGTGAGGTACAATGATCTTGTGCTCCGTTTAAGCATCGTCTCACTGACGTCCTCCTGACTCCTCCAGGTTGAGTTAGCTGCTCCCTCCTCTGGCTTCTAAACTTTAACCCACCCATTTATACTATTAATTCTGTTTGGTGTGGTCACATTGTCATCTGGTGTTGCTGGAAGACCTTACCTTGAAATTTCTTTGCAGGACCTAGTGCTAGATGACCGGCCATGCATCAATTACAAGTTCTTTTATACTCTATGTTCAAACCTTTAGTGCCCTCACTAAAGGAACAGGCAGTTTTGTAGTTGGCCTTCAAGATTTTCCCCTGGTGTCATTAAAGGAAAGGAAATGCAAAGCAGAGTTGTATGAATTTAGAAATGTTGCAGGGTGAGCCAAAGGCAAGTCAGCTCTTTGAAATGATGTTCCCAGTCTATTGGGAGTGACTCACCTTCTCAGTGGACTCTTTAAAGGGGGATGACATGTATGTTTAGAAACAACCCTTTTACCAACAGTTTCCTAAGACTTGGAGACTTTTATGTTCATAAATTCAGAAGTGACAGAACTAGCCCGATAAGGGAGCAGGCAGGCCTGCTGCAGCTTGCTTTGTGTGACTGACACCAATCAGGTCCTGCTATAGGAAATACATATTGCTATCAGTGTAGTATGCCCGTTCAACTCCTCAATCCCTCTCTAATCATTATGAAATGTCATTCTTATTCCTCAAAGGTACAATCAAATGTAATTATAAATAAATCTTTCAAAGTGCACAATGTTTTTTTGAGATATGTGGTAAGGTACCATTTATTAGACCCTTACCAAATGATCATATTTTGGCCCAAATTTCATCCTTGCACTAGCTATAAAAATTGATAAGCAGATACTTGGGGGCATGCATAACCTCCTTATGAGGAAAGACTGTTATTGAAATACTCGAGTAACACCAATTTGGAAAAAATACCAATTAAGAGGTTTTTATTTGATAAAACAGGTACAATTAGACGTTTTATAATATATTGTTATTACAGTTTGGCACTTTGTGTAGTAGAGAATAATAGAAATTAATTTGCCTTAATATATTTTATATTTTCACCTTGCTAGCCCAAATTGCTATGATTTTGCTGTATTTCATCATTTTAAGGAGAATGTTTTCAGCAAAGTTTTCTTTTTTCCTTTCTTTTCTTTCTTTCTTTTTTTTGTAAATTTTTTTTTTTTTGCTTAGACTGCAGTGTAGACTATTCTCCTAAGTGGAAAATGGCTGCTAAGTATGCGGAAAGAGCACAAAAACTTCAGCAGGAAGACACTATTTATAATCATTTGAAATTTTCCATCCCTGGAAAATTCTTAAGTTAGGCTTAGGAAAGCAGTCCTATTTAGCAAGCTGCTTGGACACAGCAGAAGCATATTGTCAACGCTGGGATTTGGACTGCACCTGTCTGTCCCGAGTCCCCACCTTCCCTTGGCAGCAGTACCTCTCCAGGGTCCCAGTAAAGCTCCCCCAGGTTCTTGAGCTTGTCTTCCTGCAGGACCCTTGTGCCAGGCGCAGCACCCCAAGTAGTGCTCTCGTTGGCTCCATCAGCTTTAGTGGGTCTGGACTAGAAATTAATGACTGTTCTTGCTGGTCCATCAACTCAAAAGGTCCCAAATCTCAGATCAGACGTGAATATGAGGGACTTACGTGTCTTTGCTTTATCATACATTAGCCTAATGTCTTTGATTTTTCCTTCACTAGTAGGCAATTAGTTGAAAAAGTCACTACCTTAATCATTTGAGGGTTTGAGTGAGGTGATTTCAAGGGAGTAGGTGATATACTTGGAATTTGGGATGTCTTTGTCTATGGGTTTGTGTGCCTCTTTTCCCCTCAGTTCTCTAGGCACTCTCAATGGGGTCTCTCGCTCCCTTGAGACTCTAATTCCTGTTTGTATAATTGGAATTCCTTGACTTCCCAAATGGTGTAATTTCAGCTTTATGGTCCAGCAGGAACTTCACCGGTGCTTACACGGTTTCTTTCTCTTTGCAGCTAGAACTGTTTCACAAAGCCATATGGTGCCAACCAGGCCTCTGGAGGGAATATAGTTTTCATGATGTAGAAGGAATAACTTATTCAAGAGAACCCTGGTGGGGCTGTTGTAATGAGCTGGCGATTTCTCCAGAGGTCCCCCGTCCCTGTTTGATGACAACAGGAAACATTTTTCTAAACAAGGAGGTTTAAAGCCTCCCGTGGAAGTGTGCTATTATGTCATAGGCTTTTTTATTTCTCTGCCTAGCCCAATCAGCTGCAGCTGTGGTTTTTGTTTATTTGTTTGTTGTTTCAGTGAAATGAAACCTGCCTCTAAACCCACCCCACTCCCCCAGGCCAGATCTCTGTGGTAGGCTCCAAACTTTAAAACAATCCTCAAACTTATTTAGGAAGTGGAATAACTGGAAATCACAGCACTTTTTTCCCCTGAATGTGATGCAAAAATGCTGGCTTATTGAGCTAAAAATAACAAATTATAAAAGTCAGCATAAGTCAAATAGAATCTTAGAATGAACTCTGATATACACTGTTGGTAGCAGTAGCAAAGTTTAAAGAAAAATTGGAATATAAAAGATTACTACTGAGAAACTCCTGTTCATTGTTTTTAAAATGTCTCTCTGAGTCTTGAAAAGGATTGCCATTTTCAATTTTCCTGGTGGAATACCTAGGGTGAGTTTTTGAAATATCAGTATTCCAACGGGGCATAATTTGACAGTCACTGGTTTAAAACTTATTAGCGGTATAGTGCTCTAGGAATAGTTATAATAAAATTAATGTTGATGCCCTCGCTGGCTTGGCTCAGTGGATAGAGCGTCAGCCTGCAGACTGAAGGGTCCCAGGTTCGATTCTAGTCAAGGACACATGCGTGGGTTGCAAGCTCCATTCCCAGTAGGGGGCGTGCAGGAGGCAGCCGATCAATGATTCTCTCTTATCATTGATGTTTCTATCTCTCTCTCCCTCTCCCTTCTTCTCTGAAATCAATAAAAATATATAAGAAAAAAATAAAAATTAATGTTGACAATGTGTGATTATGTCCTGAATGTAGTATTCAAAGAGTTTCCTCTGATGATTAGTGAGAGTTGAGGCGCAGGGGAATCTGATGACAGATTCCTTATATTTGATTCCATTCATGGTGGAAGGGAGATGTGATTGACATTAAGACCGAAGACTCTCACTCCAGAGTTATTGCACAGTGAGCGCGAGGCCAGCCTGTCAGTGTCGGTGTCAGGCTTGCTCAATGCTGAGAGAACAGCATCACCGCTAACTGAAACAGCAAAGATTACCAAGGCTGTGGCTTGAGAAGCAATATACACCGACACTGGGAGGGAAAGGGCTATTTATTTGTAAAAGCTCACCATCAAATCACTGGACAGGATAAACAACTCATAGAGAAAAATCCATCGTAACTTGTTGATTTCTCTAGGCACTCTCAATGGGGTGTCGAACGAAACTCAAATGTAAGCAATCGTGATGGGGAAAAATCCATCTTTTATTATTATTATTTTTGCTGATACCTCTTTCCAACCTCTTTCCATGGTTGTCTGAATTATATTTAAGCATATATAATCTATTTGATGTTAGTAAGCAGCCAATTTAGCATTAATTTCTCTGGATGGAAATATGAGTTATGTGTTTAGGCTAGTAATAACAACACTACACACTTGGATCATTTCTGAGTACATTGATAATATTTTCATTTCGAAGAGGGAGTTCGGAGAGTTTGTATTCATTTTTGAAGCATCAGCAGCTTTCAGTACAGAGGCCACACACGTTTTCTAATCTCATTTTACTCAATTTCTCTACCGGTCTGACTGGTTAGAGGTTCAAATAAAATTGTGATTCTTCTCTGCATCGATTATGTTAAAGTATTTCTTGTCTTTCTCCTGGCACAGCAGCTTCTGCAAGAAAATTAATTGTTATAAAGTTGTAGCAGAGCAGCACTAGTGTTCTTTGAGGGCTATTCTACTAGATTTCCAGATAGTTGAGACTTTTTTAATATACTCAACTTCACTTCATAAATAAATCTCACAAGGGTAAAGAACTCCAATGGAGAAGTGCATGTTTCCAGGTGCTCTCAGTGTGCACATAAACAGCTTTGATTTGGGGAGCCAGAAACAGGGGGCATGTAAGACAGAAATGAGTTGAAAAGAAAAGTTGCACATAGAGTAATTTTAATCCATTCCATTTTTAAATACCACAATAAATTTAATTTTCACAATAAATTAAATAGCCATATTCAGTTTACAAAATAGAGTTACTTAGTGTGAAACAAGTATTTACAATAATATACATTATGTACATGACATTTCTCTTTGTTGACATAGAACATGGAAGTGAAAGGACTTTCCAATGTATGATTGACATGCTACAAGTGACATCATGGTCCATACGAGAAAACAATAGTGCAAAATCACCACAGGAACTTTGGAACAATGTCAATTTTATGAGATAGGACATCCTTTTAAATCATAAGAAAATAGCATTTTCTGTTTTCATGGCACTAATTCAGCATCTGAATTAAAGAGCCAGCTTTCCCTTAGAAAAGAATGCATGACTGAATCCTCTCCTTCCTGCAGCTTCACAGCCATTGGTACTTTTCACACATTCATCTTTTGGCTTCAATTTATGTAAATGGCGGGTGACAAATTCTGACTCAAAGGAAGACTAACTCTTTGAGGATAGCTGAAGTCACTTTCCCCCAATACCACCACCTCTTCTTTTAGTAACTCGTCTCAAAGATGCAACTATGCAGACAGCAAATTGTTTTGTACATTTTCAGTAGAAAAAGAACTGGTCTTATATTTGGTCACACACTGTGTATATACAAGTAGAGATGGAAACATGACTCCGACAGTTGTGTCTCGGAAAAGTGCATATTTTAATCTAGAGGAGACATTGCATGTCTCCAGGTACAACACATGGTGTTGTCTGACTTATTATTTTAGGGCCAGTTCAGTGTCCTCCCAGTGATCTGGTAAAATTTTTGATTGAAAGGGTGAAAGAATTTGCGCAATTTGGTAATGACAGAGGGGTCCACCTCTGGATGAATGCGCCCCTTGCTGCCAGCCAGGCACTTATTAAAGATAACGTTAAATCGCAAGCAGTAGAACCCTCTGGTAACATTGAAATACAAATTGTACTGACTTATTCTTGGGGGAAGATTTAGGAACTTCTCCACAAGCTGAAGTTCTGGCAGAGGTTCTGTGATGAGGCGATCTCCATCCACAATGTGAAATTGCTCAATCGGAAAGTATTTCAACCACCTTTCCAAATGTTTGGTGTAGATGCTGGTTCTTACTGCTTTGTATTTTGTGTTCACTTCGCAGGTATTAGGGTCTATCGCCAGCTTCTCAAACTTGTAATACGTTTTATTCTTCCTCTCCTTCCCCTCTAGCACCTGAGTGTAATCAGAAATAGCTCTTGTGGTTGGCTCCCTGACAATGATCAGCAACTTGATGGATGAGTTCATTTTGTAAATCCTTTCCGGAACCTCCTCCGTGATAAAATATGCCGGGCTCTTTTCAATTGTGATTTGCTGAGGGTAGGAAAAAGGCATCTTTTTTCTATACCACTCAATGCCCTTGGCATAATTCTCATCATTGTCAAAAAAGTGGATTTCTTGAGAGGCTTTGACCACAGCTGGATGGAGGTTCAGCATCTCAAGCAGGGCCCTGGTGCCTCCTTTTCTCACCCCAATGATAATGGCCTTGGGGAGTTGCTGGACCAGGTCATGAAGGCGAACCTGCTCCTTGGAAACGTTGCCCTTCCGGAACTCGTGCAGCAGGCCGCGCTTAAACTGCAGGGCACGGAGAGGGAATTCAGCCTGCCCGCGGCCTCCGAATCGGCCTTCAATGGGGCAAATGGGTTGTAGCCTGCAAACAACAGAGAGACACTGTAAGAACCTCACTGCAACTAGATTCTCATTTTTCTGGTTCACCAGTCCGAGGAAGACTTTAAATGCATAAATAAAACCTCTGTTTCCCTGCCTGACGCAATCCATAATGAACATATGTTTGAGACATTTTATTTTAAGCAACACGGTATTAAATGGAGCGCACATAATTGATGGGATTTTTTTATTAGTGCTCCTTAAATTTTTTATTCACCAAGCACTTAATTGACTACGGCATGTACTTATGTTCACACAGTACAGGACAGACAAGTGACACCAGTCATACTAATAGCTTTTTAACAGCTCACCAGTTAACATTATTTAGAGAATGTGAAAGGTGGAAGATTATAATCTTTAGCTGGGAGACTGAAGGGCAGCTAGGAGGCTAGTCTTTTGGGTTTCGTGTGTATTACTATCTTGCAGCACTCATACGGCTCTTAAAAACTGTTGGTATATAATCTGAAAAGAGGTTGCAGTCTTTGTCCTTGGTTATTTGCATCATCAACCTGAAAAATTCCAAAATTGGCACCTGCTGAGCTTTTCATCCTCTTGAGAATTTCTGTCGTTGGCCTTAGGGACAGCTGGAAGAGTACTGTATTTCTTTTTCTTTCTATCTAAAGAGGTCAGGGTTATGTTTTTACTTGGTTGAATGTAGGAACAAACCCAATGCCATCAGCAAGTGCTGTATATCACTTACCACACCTGGGACCAGAAATCAACACGACCTTAGCAGGGCCAGAAACCTCAGGTCCTCATTGCCAAGTCCATTTAAATCAGGAACTCAAGCTCATGAAGGAAGGATGCAATCAATGGAGCCAGAAAGGAGGATTCCCACTTCAACATTGCCTTAAATAATGAACCACCACCACTGCTTCTCTCAGAGAAAAAGGTGTGGTGATAATTATAATGCTATTAGACTGGAGTGGCTGTTTAATTTGGCATGGCTAATATATATGGTTAGTACATTGAGTTTCCTTTGGGGTATAGTCTGGAATTGAACTGAAATTCATTATAATTTCCCTAGGTTTATTTGGAAAGGTATTTTAACCACCTTGGTAAAGGGTAGAATAGTGGTAAAAATGACTGTTAAGCCAATTCCTTCAACTGAAACCTCTAGTTATCCCAATAATTTGGAGTCTATGTCCACTTCTCTGTGGCAATAAATTTCTTTCTTACATTTCCCAAGAGACTCTATTGTACCTTTCTTATGTTCTGTAATGTTTACAATTAAAAGGAGAAGAGGAAAACCTCAAGGTCACGCCAAGGCATTCTGCAGAACAGGAGAAAGGGCTTGGCCTGTGCTCTGTGTACACAGCTGTCTATCCAAATGCTTAAGCAAAAATATTAACGTAGTTTACTTTTTTGTGGTGCTTGTTTTTTTATGATTTTAAACACAACTCATGCTCATTGTGGAAAACATGGAATACTATAAAAAAGTTTATCACAGTCATTATGTTAGAGAAACATAAATTTTGTTTTTACAAATTTGTAAAGATTAATGCTGGAGTTCTAAATGGAAGATATAAAAGTAGCAACACACATAGAGTCAAAGATGTTTTTAATTGTGATGTTGCTTGGGACATCACAAATTCATCTTTTAGCTCTTCTTGATTGACAAGTAAGCGCTAATTCCCCAAGACATCCATCGATATACTGGATGGACTTCTCTCTTGTGCATCTAGAATGATGCTAGTGTCTGTCATTCTTGAAAGAATTAAGGCAATAGTCAAATCCTTTTCTGTAGGACTTAATTCTCTTGAGGAATTCTGGCTGAGAGAGGCTGAAATAGAGTCCCTTTCCTACCTCTAGAAATGGCCATTTTTCTTCTTTCCTTCTTCTTTCTACCTTCTACCTTGGGAGTTCATAGCCTGCAGAACAATTGCTTGTTGGATTCCATAACTCAAAATTGGAGAAAATATCACCTTATTTTGACTTCTTGAAGAGTAGATTCTGAGCATGGGGCTCAGACTATATAATATGAACTTTAAGGATTGTAAGGGACAGTAAAAGTAACAGAACTCAGCCTCCCATTCAGAGTTACTAAAAGATAAGTGTAAGTCAGCATGTGTAAATTTTAGATGCAATCCGCTCAGACTCTTAATTGAGAACTTTTGAGAAGGCCCAATAAGCAATCTAACTCCTTATAAAAACAATCCCATTTGAGACTATAGACCAGGTGAAAAATGAAAAGAATCAACTAAGCAACTAATATGTTAATGAACATTAGATCAATTACTCAATAAAAAGGAAATGATTGGGAAGAACTTGATATAAAAGTTCCTTTATGGACATAGGACAATGATCCCACCTTAAGGCTTTTCACTAATAACTAAACACTACCTTTAGGGAACTACTTGAAGTCAGTGATAAGCTCTGGATCATACCGTTTTGCATAGTTAGCAACTAGTATGTGGATGTTTACTCTGGATTTTTGAAATGAAAAGCATAAAGGGGTTCACTTTACCAGTCAAAATTGACACTGGCAGAAGGAAAATAAAGACCACTGCTATATTATTTGATAAATATCTATTGTGGTAAGATCTATAGATTAGAAAAGGAAAACTGCAAGGGAGATATTTTCCTTTTAAAGTGTGGCTGCATTTTCACAGAAAATGGGAACTGAATGCACGGAGAACATACTTCAGCCTCTCCAGAGCAATAGTTAATTTAAAGAGCGAAGAAGGAAGTTCCACATTTCATAAATGCAATTCTCTGTCCTTCACAGTCGTGCTGGATGTTGCACAGCCCAGAGGTATTCATTGTGAAGTCGGATGTTATTGCTCGGCTTCTGCAGGTTGAGCACCTTTCAACTGTTTGCTTATTTAGAGCCAACCCCTTGCTCTGTAAATTTCCTCTCCATAGATTTTCCATTGGTTTCTGGGCAATTACTCTGAGTGACAGGCTCCTTGTCTGGTACATTCAACTCCTGGAAACCAGAGCTAATTAACATAGTTCAAACTCCCCACGCCTGCAGCCATCTTTCCAGGGCAGTGGGTTCCAAGTTTGATGAGCTCCTTTATAGGCGCAAACATAATTTTAACTCTCCTGCTAGCACATTAATGGCTCACTCATAAATTTCAAAATGAAGATACCTAATTACATCATCACCATTTTGCTATGGCTAGAGGTCAACAACCAGATGCACACAGGCCACAGTGAGCTCTAGAAAATGACATTTCTCCTGTACATGGCTTTATCCCTTCTCTGAAAATAAATGTCAATGCACACAGAATACAAATGGATCCTGACAAACACTTGGTCGGAACAACTTGGATCTCTGTTTTAAAGGCTCAATAGATCAAAATCAATACTGCAAGAAAGCATGTTTCTTGGGAGTTTTGAAGGAGAAAAACAAAGGGGTAGTTTTAAATTATGTCCTAAGGAAGTTTAAGTTGAGAAACACATAAAGTCACATGGGCATAGGTATGTGTTTAATCACCTACCTATCCAAACTCCCAACTCTGGCGACTAGATACAGGAGACTCCCAACAGCAAGGCTTCCCAGCACCAGGAGCTTCTGTCTCAGCCACACCTGCTGTTTGAATAGCATGGCCCTCCATCAACCTTCAGGACTTCTGTAGCCTGAGAGATGGGGATAGAAGGGCACTCATTAGCGGGCTTCTCTTATAGGCTCTTTTAATCGTCACAAAGCCAAGCAGGGGTAGGAAAATAAGCGATTAGGTGACGCCACACGAAGAACAGACCTCATACCAACCTTGACAATGTTCATGGGTATTTAGCAAAACTTGGTTTCCTTTTCCTGGCCTGTAAGATCAAATACAAAATTGGGGGAAGATACTACTAACTAGACAGAACCTGCTAGACAATTGTCAAAGTAAATTAAAATGCATATATTACAACAAATAGTAAATATATATATATGCGCACATATATGCTTATATTTGTTGTTGTTGTTAACCATTGAAAGTACTGATAACATGAGCAACTAAGCAATCTGAGCTTTACTGGCAGGGCAACCAGTAAACGGAAGTTTCTGCCTCAGAATAACAGGGCAAATGTAGAAATTGAAGCCCCAATTCAGTAAGTTATTGTTTTGGGCATAACATTTTACCCACATGAGTTTGTTTTGTTATAATTGTGAGTGAAGAAAGTGAGCAAGATCAAAAGCTATTTCTTATGAAAGTTACCAGCGTTTACTATCAGGACCCCAGATGTTTAAGTACAGTGGTATCAAGTAACCTGATGTTTCCTTCAAGTTCTCTGCCCATTTCTGAATTGGACTGACTGATTCTGAAAACATGCTTAGACTAGACTGACGCCCCTGCTCTGTGACCCCTCCTTTGGGTGGGTTTGGTGATATTGGTCTTGCTATTACATCATAACAGAAACTTAACTGGGAGCTTCAAAGTCACACCTGAAATAAGGCCAGAGAAAAGTGTAAGGCGTTACTAGTGCTATTATTAAATTTTGGGGAAAATGCAAGCTTCCAATTCAACCTTTCTTATTAAAAATAAATCAAAACCCCCTTTCAAGATAAGATTGTTTTCTTCTTATTGAAACTCAATATAGTAACCCAAGAAGAGGGACTACAGCAGTGGGCTGTAGTTAGAAATTGTTTTGCTGCAATGGTATCTCCATATTTGCTATGTGAAGATTTTCTCTGTGCAAAAGGAATATACTAGGATTGACGGATTAATCTATTCATTCATTCATCAAGAAATTACTAAGCACCAAAACATGTTCCCGGCTACTCTACAAGGTTTATGGGGGATTCTAAAATGATCTTGATGGACTTTTAGCCCTTGAAAAATTAACAATGTGATTAGGGAAGCGTGAAACAACCAGAGATTGCAACCTAATTCATGATAATGTATGAATAAATGTTGGGGAAAGAAAATGAAGGAAATGGTCAGGGATATGGGCTCCATGGGAATTGTGTGTGTGTGTGTGTGTGTGTGTGTGTGTGTGTGTGTGTGTGTGTATGGTTTGGTGAGGAGGCTATAGGAGTATATCCCAAAGGGGAGAGAAAAGAATAGCATTCATCCAAGAAACAGCTAAAAAATATTTATGGAACATGCGTATGTGTTAGATTCCATACTGGGTACTATGAAGATAGTAGCCAACATGGGGGTCTGTACTCTAGTGGAGAAAACAGACATTAAACCCATAAGCATAGAATTTACATATACTTACAAATCGTAATAACAATGAAAATGACAGGATGCAGTGAGAGAATCACAGGAGGAACCCTCTTCAGTCCTTCCTGAGGAAGTGACACTTGGGCTGACACCTGGGGCATGAAGAGCAAGGGGGGCTGGAGTAGGGCAGAGTGGATTTTAGGCAGAGGAACCAGCATTTACACAAGTACCTGGGAGGGGAAGCTTGGCTAGTTTGAGAAGTGAAGGGAGGCTGGTGTGGCTAGACACAGGGATGGAGGGGAGAGAGAAAGGGCTAAAAGCAGATACAAAGAGGGGGCAATAAAGGTGTTTGCAGGGTCCGGGTGAGCCCGTGGTTCTGACTTGGCACGGCTTGCCTTGTGTGTAGGTATAATGGGGAAGAGAAGGGAAAGAGAAAAAGAGGTTTACTGAGGCTTCCTATGTGGCAAAGACATTATCCAGGTGTATTTTAGGAAATCCTCAGAAAAACCCTATGAAGCAGTCATAGTTATTTCCATTTGATGGACAGGTTAAGTGAAGCTCAGATCATTTTCTCTGACTTGCCTATGATCACACAGCCAGCAGGTCATGTGAAGACAAAGGCATAACTTATGTAGGGTGATTCAGGGCTTTGCTGAAAGAATCATTCTATCTCCAGATTGATGTCCAAAGTCCTAAGTGAGAGCCACATGCCTTTAGCACAGGGCTCTGATCCCTGTTGAAATGAAAATATTGTTGCAAGATGCAGAACAGGGTGGCAGAGAGAAAACTGCGCCCACATCTCCCAGTTCGGTTCTCCACTTAGTAGCCCTGTGCTTGGCGTTGGCCAATTAGATTCTCTGGGCCTTTCTTTCTCTATCTATAAAAGGGGATAGTTGCTGACCTCCCCACTCTATTGAGCTGTAGAGAGAATGAAATAAGTTTTCTATAAGTAATTTCACTACACAGAATATTCCAGAATAACATAAGGGATTATGTGTCATTTGTATCTTAGTGTGAGTGAATTTAATGTGTATTGTACAAGCAGTGTGTGAAAACAAAAGCTATTATGTGGTTGAAGAGGACCAGATACAAATAGGAGAGATGGGAAAAGGAAAGGTAAATGTGCTTGCCCCATGGCCTTCATTAGGATCAACAGCCCTGTACAGAGGAGCAGCTCAGAGGGAGGCTCACCTGGCCTCATCTGCTCTCTAAACCAAGCACGTCAAACTCGCGGCCCACAATGAATATTTTTGCGGCCCAGCCCATATAACGGTATGTAAAAAACGTTTTAATAAAAATTTCCTAACTTAATTTTTACAATATCCTATTATTCATAATTATTAATAACAAACTACAATGTTCTTCAATCACAGATTACTATAATCGTGTTGCATTCATTTCCCTTATGCGCCTTATGCGCAGGTGCACCATTTCTCTCCACTAATACTAGCAGCAAATATTTTAGCAGCCGATTGCTGCGTCATTAGTCTTGTACTGACTTGTTTGGTGTGCGCAACAGGAAATATTTCACTTTCAGAGAACAAGAAAAATAGGTTTATTTGCATTATGCTTATTAATTTGTGCAGTTATTTAGTGTCTGGTAAGTTAATGTTCAAGAAAAATATTACTTTTTATTAAAATGTTCTCTTATGTTAACGATCACTCATTTATTTCAGCCCTTTGTATTCAGCATGTCTCTATCGAAATAAACCTATGTTTCTATGAAAGTTGAAGCTTTTGTTTTTTTGCGGCCCACATAAACTTAAACCTTGTTTATTTGGCCCGTGTTAGCCTTTGAGTTTGACATGCTTGCTCTAAATGTAGTGCCCACACTCTCCTGCTCAGAGCAATACTACACAATGCTTTGTCCACTTTCACTGTCCCCCTGTCTTGGGCTACCGTTCACCCTGTAAGGTCTGGACTATGTCTCAGTTCCTCTAGAAGTCCTTTCCAACTGCTGTCCCAGTCCATAGTCGTCTTCCTCCTCACTGAATTCTTGTTCTTGAAGTCAGAAGCACAATTAGGCTTCTACTATTCGTAAGAGTTGGGCAATTGTTAGCTGCCACCGTCTTCTGTGTATATCATGACATCCCTCAGCACTGTGTCAATCTTCTGACTGGCTCAGAAGTCTGAGAAGGCCGACGGAAAGGTAGTGAGCCCAGAACCTGTCTGCTTTGCTCTGTAGGTGAGAGGTTTTTTATGGTGAGCTTGCAGAGCCTCTAGAAAGCACACACCTGGTACCACCCTCAGAACCTCCAATTCAATGGGTCTGCATTCATTGCGCATCTGCATTTTTCACAGTGGAGTGAATACACCAAACTTATAATTATTTTCTACTGTCTTTTTCCTCTTTGTCCCCATGATTAGTAAACTGCTTCTGCTTAGTTTCTTCTTGCCTTGTCTATCAAGGCACTTAATGCTTCCCTTAAACCTTAACATTTGAGTGTGTTTTCCTGAGTGGTTCTCAACCTTCCTAATGCCGCGACCCTTTAATACAGTTCCTCATGTTGTGGTGACCCCCAACCATAAAATAATTTTCGTTGCTACTTCATAACTATAATTTTGCTACTGTTATGAATTGTAATGTAAATATCTGATATGCAGGATGTATTTTCATTGTTCGCTACACACAGGTTGAGAACTGCTCAGTCTGATTAATCTTCCTAATACAGGTGACTTTGTCCATCATCTTTTCGGTTGTTCACTGGATAAAACCCAGTCTTTTACTCTTGAAAGCCCAGGCCCTTTCTGAGTTCCCAGCTTGGGTAGTTAGCTTCTTTTCCTCTTATTACTCAACACCAACCTCTATACCCTTCAGATCATTCTCTTTACTGCTCCCCATACTCCTTTACTCTCATCTCTATGTTTTTGCCAGCTTCCTGACTGGCCTTCAATTTTCTCTACATCTCCTCCTTCAATAATTCTAGATTCTATTGCTATCTTCCTGGGGAGGGTGATCCTGGTGGATGTGGAATTTTGGGGAAAAATCCTGATACACACCACACTTGTGGGTAGTAATAGGCTGGGTCCATTGCACAAGATCAAGGGTCATAGCTAGGCTTAGGGCTGACACTTGGGAGACATTGCATGTAGTGGGTGAGTGAAGCTATGAAGTGACCTCATGGCTGAACTCTGCCCAAGGTTGGCAGGCAGGAAAAAAAAGGAAAAAAAAAGATGACTGAGGATGTGAAGGCTGCTGAGGAAGTAGCCCAAGATTTAGGAGAATATTGCAATGCACCTGTCCTCAGGTAAACAGTTCATTATGAAACCTGACTGAATATGAGGTCAATATTTTTCCTACTGCCACTGAGGATCTTTCATTCTCAAAGGCTCCAGTACTCAACCTATTGACTCTCCCTTTATGATAAGCCCAGTCATTACCATGGAGGTTTTGCTCTGTGGGATAAGCTGCTACTTCCAGACCGCTCCTTTATATCCGAGATGCCTTAAATAAACCCATTGGGGGGTTTCTTGTTTTGGGAG